AAGACCCTCTGGCCACTATGCCAGAACACTGCTGGGTTCTAGAACCAGGGTTAGTAGGAGCCAGATGCAAATCCTCCCAATCTCTCTGACTCCAGGGGATGAGAAGGAAAGGTCATTGTAGGAAGGTAGTCATAGCACTGTCCCTTGTGCAGATTGGCATGTGAGTTGACTTTACCTGAACAGCCTATACATCTCAAGAAGCAAGTTTACATCAAGGAGATCCTAGAGTAGAATCAGTCCCAGGCTCACGGTGGGAGCAAGTGCTCTCCTGTTGTGAAAGTGTCACAGTCACCCTACCTCAAAGACAGTCCTGTTAAGTACATTCCATAGTCAGCAGAGCAAAGCCATAAAATAACAGGGAAAGGAGGAAGAAACAGTTTAGAGGCAGAAGCAACAGACTGAGCCCCACATAGTGCACATAATAGAATCAGAGACAACAAAATTTAAAATTGTTATGTGAAAAGACACAAACTCTAAAGTGTATTTGGGTAACAACGTTATGAAAAGTTGATTTAAAGCATAGTAAAATAGAGCCTAGCTGTTTTTGCTTTGTTTGAACATGAACTCACTGTGAGTCCAGGCTAGCCTCAGACTCAAGACCTTCCTCAGCCTCCTGAGTTCTGGGATCACAAATGTGTGACCCAGCTGAGCTGGCCTTACACACACACACACACACACACACACACACACACACAACCTTTAATCCCAGCACTTGGGAGGCAGAAACAGGTGGGTCTCTCTGAGTTCAAGTCTAGACTGGTCTACAGAATGAGTTCCAGGACAACCAGAGCTACACAGAGAAACCCTGTCTCCAAAAACCAAATAAATAAACAAGTGATGTAATAACTGAACATTGAATCTAACACATGAGTTTAACAACTGATTAGACACAGATAAAGAACGAATTGGTGAACTGGAAGATAGGCCAGAAGAAATTATCCAAACAACAGACTAGGGAGTCCAAAGGATGACACTCATAAGAAAGTAGATTAGAAAGAAAAAGAGAAAGAATAGTCCAAACACACCTAACTAACTCTGGAAAAATAAGCAAGAGGGAAGAGGGTGAGTGTACTGTGGAGAAGACAAACGTGTGAGAATTTTTCAGAGTAGATGAAAGATGCTGATGTCAATTTAAGAAACTTAGTGAATGCCACAGACTAGAAATAAAAAATGGAAGTCTTGCTGAGCCTTCATCACAAACAGGGAAGTCCAATGGTCTGTCCAAGGAACTAATATAACTTGACCAACCTTGGGATGTGCATTCCTGATGGTGAAGAGCCAAGCAAGAGTGTGTGCAGTAGCCAGCCCTGTACAGACCACCCCCGGTCTGGCCAAGTCATTGACTGCAAAGGTGGGAGTGACATTGGAGGCACCACCGCATTTTGAATCTTCAGTTAGTCATTTATAGCACAAAAAGAATGGAGGAAGTGATGGGAACTCCATTTCCACCCCTAGGTGAGTTTATTTTTAATAACTCTAGCAGAAATCCAATGTTTCTCCCACCCCACTACATTATCCTGGTCTATCTGGAAACTTAGTCTCCCCGTCTACCTTCGAATCGGATTGGAAAACAAAATTTCCCATCTCTGGAACTCTTGTCCGGACTCTTTGAGAAATGTTCTCGATATTGAAGCTTGTTTACATGTCAAAGCTTAGGTTTGACATAGTCCAACATGTCATTGAAGATGGAGGAACCAAGGTCAGAGAAGATGGGGAACGCAGATGGTGTCTGCAGACAGGCCAAGCCTAGTGAAGGGTCTCCTGGCTCTAATCCAGGGGCTCACTTCCTAGAGATGGAGGGAGCAGGTTCTTCAAAAGACATCTCAACAGCTTTGTTACCATGGACCAAGTTGTGTAAAACACAAGAGTTCCCGAAGCATCTCAAAGGTGACAAAGGAACAGAGATAGAGACAACCTCAACAGATCAAAACAGCCCCGGTTACATAACCGCGACAGCACGCTGTGAATCACCGCCGGATGATGGGGAAATCAGATCGGTCACTAGGAAAAGTAAAAGGAGCGCTGTGGTGAGTCATGGGGCCCACCCTCCCGTGGAGCCTCTCAGGGGCAGACACCTGACGACGGTTGATTCAGAGTCTGCCCTTTGTCTTCCCCTCTTCCACGTCGAAGTTTTGATGTTTCACAATGAAGCTTCACAAGGGATGTAAATTTCCAAAGAGGGCTGGGTTGAAGCAAAGCCCCGCACTAAGCCTCTGCGCTGTTCAGGAAAGTGGGCTCTTGGTTGGCTCCACTGTCAACGGGTCCTCCTGCCCTTCTGAAGATACCTGGGTTCTATAATTGTCATCCTGACGGGTCATCCCCTTGATGGAGAATGGAAGCCATAGAGGTTCCGATGTTGAGCAGAGTCTCACGGTCCAGAGGGGATGATGCTGGCAGGATCCCCTAGGCAAAGCCACTCGATGGCCCATGCTCTTCCTACCTGGCTAGAAGGCCCCCTTTTAGACTTCTGACTGCCTTTGTGTGTACCTACAGTTGTGGTGGAGGCCACCGTTGTGGTTCAGATGCTGCCGAATTGGTGGCTCCCTATCTCCATGGGATTGGAAGGATGAGGCAGAGACCATGAGCATCACTTTTGGAGGAGACCCTGACCTCTTTAAAAGCTTAGTGGTGAGCAAGGCCTGGATCTACCTGCTACTCTTGTTTTGGTTATGAGACCCTGGGGACTGTCTGTGCTTAGCGCCACAATTCTCTTCTCCCGCCTGTGGCGTGTGGTGGAAACTCACCTGACATTGTTGAGATATTTGTTTCCCTGGTGGGAGAAACGCCACTCCGGTGGCCTAAGGGGTGGCTTTGTTCAGATAGATATATCCCTCCTGTGACTCACTACCCCGGCCACAGCTCTTTTTAGGATTCAAATACTTCAAATTTGTAAGCAGAACATGCTGACAAATGTTCAATTGCCCTCGAGCCTAGGAGACTCGGGTGCTTTGTGCCCGGTCGTAGGCACGACCCCCATTTCCTCCCTTATTGGTTTCACAGTGGCTTTGAAGACGGTTGCCAGGTGTGGATGGGACCGGCTCCCTTGGTCCAATATTGTGGCTACCAGCTAAACAATAACCTCCAGGCCTGGCGGTGGATTTCCAGGATACAGGAAAGAATGGGGGCCTCTACCTGCACCTGCTCGGCATGGCAGTACCCCTCCTCTGTGCCCTCCTCCCTCTGCTGTGTGGGAGAACAAGGACACCTGCTACAAATCCAGGTCCCAGATTTTCACATCCCTGGTCAGCAGGGGATCTAGACTGAGCCCTGCAGTTCAGTAGCAGCCACCTCAGGCCAAGTCCCCGGGAACTGGAGTTGCAGGTGGTTTTGAGTCACCATGTGGGTGCTGAGCCATCTCTCCAGTCCCCACTTTCAGATAGCCAAGTCCAGATGTGTGCCGGAGGTGCTGGAGGAGGTTAGGTCAACCCCAGGGAGACTCATGACTTAGAGGGGAGACCCAAGGAAGCATCTGGAACATTCCGTGTCTCAACTGTCAGCTGGTTTTTATGAAAATTCACTGAACTGTCCATGCGCTCCTTGATGACTTGATGACAAAGGTCCTTTGGTGGGCCAAACTTTAGCCTAGGTCTGTGCCTTCTCCTGGGCCAACAGTGCACTTCCTCATAAAGGCCAGTATTAGTGAAGACCTCTGATGAGTGGCCGGGCCAACACTCCCTATCTTTGAACCCTGAGCGCACTTGATGGGACCTTGATGGGGTCGTCATTCTTTTTTTGTTTGTTTGTTTTTGTTTTGGATTTTACGAGGCAGGGTTTCTCTGTATTGTTTTGGAGGCTGTCGGTCCAGCCTGGCCTCGGACTCACAGAGATCCGCCTGCCTCTGCCTCCCGAGTACTGGGATTAAAGGCATATGCCACCACCGCCCGGCTGGGGTCGTCATTCTTTACCTACATCCCCAGGGCGTGTCTCCTCACCTAGGCCCACCTGCGATGAGAATCCGGTTAGGTCAGCTTAATCAGGATCCTTCTATGTCTGACACATTTCTGTGTGTGACTCATATACGTCTGCCGCTGTATATTTCCATGCACCTCAGTTGTCGTCAAAGCTAAACCCCCATCTATCCAGCTTAGGGAACCCTCTACAATGGCTCCTGTGCCCACAGAACAGGACTGTGTTTTAAAAAAAATGTCACTGAGCCGGGTGTTGATGGCGCACACCTTTAATCCCAGCACCCGGGAGGCAGAGGCAGGCGGATCTCTGTGAGTTCGAGACCAGCCTGGTCTACCGAGTGAGTTCCAGGACAGTCTCCAAAACAACACAGAGAAATCCTGTCTTGAAAAACCAAACCAAACCAAACCAAAACCAAAACAAAAAAACAAGTGTCACTATACAATCTAATTATTTCTTTAGTAGCTACAATCAGTATAATATTAGGACAGGGTCTAGCTATGTAGTCCAGACTATCTTTCAACTCCTCATCCTTCTGCCTCAGATTCCTTAATGCTGAAGTTACAGGCATGCACCATCACACCAGGCTTGTGGTATTCGTTTTTAAAATGTTTCCTAAAGAGTCAAGGCCTCTCTCTTTACTTTGGAGGTTCTGCCCATTGTAAATTCACCAGCTGTCCCCATCCCTACTGGTGACGCAGTCATTTTGCAGTGACAGAGATATTTTTGGGGACAGCCTTTGTCAAAAATGTGGATGTCTGGTCTGTTACTCTTCCGCCTCCAAGGCCAGGGAGGCCAGCAGTGGGGCTGCTACTAGGAATACAAGGGATAATGGCTTCTCTTTTCCTGTTGGAGACGCATCCTGTTGGAAACTTGGCTATTACAGCCCCTCAACCAAAGCAAACAAACAAATAAGTCTTATCCCACCTGCATCCTGCTCTACACACACACACACACACACACACACACACACACACACACATGCACACACACACACACACATACATGCACACACCAAGCATATACATGTATATACTACTCTCTCTTACACACACACACACACACCATGCATAGACATACACACACTACTCTGTCTCTGTCGTCTCTCTCTGTCTCTCTCTCTCCCTCTCTCTCACATACACACACACACACACACACTGTTTTTTAATTATCTGTACTACATCTCTTCATTGCTGTGATAAAATACCTGAGATAATTAACTTACAAGAAGGAAAAGGTTCTTTTGTTCTACAGTCACTTGGCCTTGACTGCTTTGGGGATTTGAGGTCATCGTGGCAGCAGCACTTGGCAGAGACAGATGCGCTATTTCTAGAGGTGGGAAAGAAGACACAGTAAGAGACTGGGTCCCACAGCCCTCTTTGAGTGCACATCCCCTGGATTCAAATCTTCCACTAGGCCCCCCCAATCTTCAAGTTTGCATTGTCTTCTAATAGTGTGGCGCTGAGGACTAAGTATGTATGCAGCCCCTGGCGACACTTCAGACCCAAACTTATCCAAGGTTAGGAATGACAAGTCAGGCCTGGCCGTGGTGGCACACACCTTTAGTCCCAGCACTTGGCAGGCAGAGGCAGGTGGAGCTCTTGAGTTCAAGGCCAGGTTGGTCTACAGCGTGAGTTCTAAGACAGCCAGTGCTACACAGAGAAACCTTGTCTCGAGAAAATTTTGAGAAAGAGAGAGAGAAAGAGCGGGGAGGGAGGAAAGGAAAGGAAGGAAGACAGAACTACTCCAGAATATGCAGAAACTATAGAAGAGAGAAAAAGGATATCATTTATGACCCCAATTACCCAAATATAACAGAGACAGAGTTTCTCTGTATTGTTTTGGAGGCTGTCGGTCCAGCCCGGCCTCGAACTCACAGAGATCCGCCTGCCTCTGCCTCCCGAGTGCTGGGATTAAAGGCATGCGCCACCACCACCCAGTGACATTTTTTAATACATATTTATATGTAGCCAGGCAGTGGTGGTGCATACCTTTAATTCCAGCATGTGGGAAGTAGAGGTGGACAGATCTCTGCAAGTTCCAAGCCAGCCTGGACTACAATGAAAGTTCCAGGACATCCAGAACAATTATACAGAGAAACCAATAAGTGCTCTTAACCATTGTACCATTTCTCCATCCCCTCTCTCCTCTTTCTTAAAAAAATTGTACTATATTCAATTTATTTATTGTCTCTGTGTGTGCACGAATGTATGCCACACACACTTGCCCTGGTGAAAAAGTGGAGGTCAGATTTCTCCTACCATAGGGTCCCACGGATCAAACTCAGGTCATCAGACTTGGTGGTTGGTGTCCTCAGCCATCTCTAGCCCAACTTTGTCTCCTTCTAAGTTGATTATCTCAGGAATTTGTTATAGCAGTATAAAGCTGATTAACACACAGCATGCCCCATACCTGCGGCATGCGGTTCTTGGGCTCGAACCCAGGGCTTTGTGCATGATAATGCAAATATCCTATCAACTAAGTCATGGTTCGGTAGCTTCTTACAAAGCCTTCTACTGTCCTGTAACTGCAGGAACTCTGCTTACCAAAGTAAGGGGAAAGGGTTAAGTTTTTCGGAGTTCCAACAGATGTTTAGAATTGCAAATCTTTGAAATCACTGTCATCTGTTGCCAGTGTGGAGTATCACCTCAGCATGCGTTTATATTTGCATTTCTCCCATGACTAATGGTGTTGAACGTCTATTATGCATGTGAAACCACTTTTCTGTGAATTTATGTCCAAATATTTTGCCTATTTTAAGAGTCTCGTGTTCTGCTGACTGAGCTAGCAGGGTTATTCTGTCTCTTTTAAATTTGCTTGTCTTAGGCAGTGGAGGCACTTTTAGTCCTGGCACTTGGAAGGCAGAGGCAGGTGGATCTCTGTGAGTTCGAGACCAACCTGGTCTACAAGAGCGAGTTCCAGAACAGCCTCCAAAGCCACAGAGAAACCTTGTAACAAAAAAACAAAAACAAAAAACAAGCAAACCAAAAAAAAACCAGATTGTCTATAGGGGGACTACATATTTCTCCTCACCCCCAGCACTCGCCAGAGGACTCATGGGTGAACTCAGGTGGGGTTTCCATCTCCTTTCTGCAAGCAGAGGTCTGGCTACAGCCTCCCAACCCGGGGTCCTGCCTTCCGACTGTAAGGTCAAACTCTGGAACATAAAGGAGTCAGAGATGGCTTCAGTATTGGAGCTTGAGGGACAAGACACCCAGAAATGTGTCTGTGTGTGATGACCCACACTTTCCCATGGGCTTCTGTGTCCCCCTTTGTACTTCTTAGCTGTGGTAATTCCGTGAGGGGACATGGGGTCCTGTGGGGGCATTGGGCTCGCCTCATTATAAAGATGAGGCAGAACTGAAGCCTAGCTCCCACCATAGTACCTCTTCCCTCTACCTTCCTTGTCCCAAACCTTCTGGAAGGGGTTGGGCGCTAAAAAGAGGGTCAGAGCGATGTAGAACCCAGACTGCCCAGTGCCTCGATTTCACGTGCAGGGAAACCCAAGCCCAGAGCACAGCCACACACAGCCACAAAAACTCCAAGCAGCCTCAGAGTTCTGTCTAGACACTGATGATTCCCCTTGGCACCACCACCATGAGGCTACCACCTCATGGGCTGCCTGCTCTGCTGTCTGACTGTCTGTCCACCTATCCATCTGTCTGTCTGTGACTAGGAGCCAGGCCTCTGTCTAAAGTAGCTAAGGAGAAAGGAGACAGAGGCCCCCACCAAGTCCCCGCACAAAATACTGCCACTTGGGGTGCTCAGCCTTCTCAAATCCCCAAATATCGCCTTGTAATTGCTTCATTTTCTGCATTCGTTCATTTTTATTCAGACCAGCCTGGGGCTCTCCAGCCTGGCATATTAGGGAACTGCTTACTTTTTAATAATAATACTTAATGTTTATATAGCGCGTTTCATGTTCAAAGTGCTTTGACAGTGTTCGCTAATTAATTGGAACGCTAACTGCTGCCCTGGACAGGTTTGGCCACATTGTCAGGCTCCTGATTTTGAGAGGTGGAATCCTTCCTGCCATCTGACCCCTCACTCCCTCAATGGATCCCCATTTTCATCCACAGCTTGGACTCTGGGCCCTCAGACTCTAAACTCATGCCTGTGTGTCGGATGCATGACCAGAGCTAGGGGTCAGGTAGTTAGGAAAGACCCACCGTCACCATGGGAGTCCTTGGAAGGGGGTGCTTCTGCGTATAGAGGAGCAGGGGCTCATGGGAACACAGAGAGGTTCATGCTCACTGGCCTGGTGGAGCAGGGCTGCGGAGAAAAGGGCTCTGAGGACCTGTTGGCACAAGAAAGACACCTGAGGAAGGAGGCCGGTTGAGCACAGTGGCGTTTCCAGGGTAGGAAGTCAGCGTGGGGGTGTCCAGGGTTCAGTGTGGGGCTTCAGGGCTGGGCAATGCGCTCCTGGAGCACCCTGTATGGTTGAGACCATTCTATAGGGAGCATGGGTCTGAATCCAGGACAGCATGAAGCAGAGGGGCCTGAACTAGGGCAGATGAAAAAGCAAGGCAAGTCCAAGGCAGATGGGCAAGGTGACAGGAGAGTCCAGTGTGAAGCATGGGGTGACGGTGGGGTAGCCTGAGGGTGAATGGGGGTCCTTAGATTGCCTGGAAGGGTGGCCCTGAAGAGTCCCTGGCGGAGGGACAGATGAGAGAAGTAACCTGAATTAGGGTGCAGGGTTAGAGGTCAAGTGAGGTTTGGAGAGAAAATCTTGGAAGAGCTGCATTTGGGGGTCACTGGAGTTCAAAGATGCCTGAGGGCCTGGGAGTATCTGACATCTCTGACTCTCTGACTCTCTCTCTCTCTCTCTCTCTCTCTCTCTCTCTCTCTCTCTCTCTCTCTCTGTCTTTTTCTCTGTGTGTCTCTGTCTCTCTCTCTCTCCTCTTCCCTCCCTCTCTTTCCCATCAATTTTTTAAAAGATTTACTGTATTTTTATTTACATGTTATCTCTGCTGAGTGTCTATGCATGCATGTGTGTAGGTACCCAGGGAGGCCAGAAGAGGGCATCAGATCCCCCTGGAGCTGCAGTTACAGGTGACCGCGAACTGCCATGTGGGTGCTGGGAACCCAACTCAGGTCCTCTGCAAGAGCAGCCATCTCTCCAGCCCTCTCCACCAACTTTTAAGGGGGTAAGTTTGGGTCAGGGATTGGCACAAGTGACTGAAGTGAGTTTAAGATTGACGCAAGGTTAGCTGGGCAGTGGCAGTGTCTAATCCCAGCACTTGGGGGGCAGACAGCCAGGACTACACAAAGAAAACCTGTCTTGAAAAACCAATATATATATTAAGGTAAGGTCACCACAAGATCACCTGGCCAGAGCAGAGCTTCTGATTGGGAGGGAATTCAACACTGGAACCGAGTGGCAAGGTTGGGCGATGAGGCCGGGCTGGAGGTCAGTGCCGCTGAAGAACCAGGACAGGAACGAGGTTGTCTGAGGTTGTCTGCGGGTATTGGATGGTTTTGACAGGTAATGCGGAGTCGCTGGCATATGACATACAAATGTACAAGGACAGATGTTGGGCAATGGCTGGGAAGAAAAGAAGCTGCCTGCTGATGTCCACGGCAGAGGGAAAGCCCTTTGTGTGACAGGAGGACCCAGCATCCAGCAGTGGTCACTCTACCCCAGCCGAGGACACTGCGCAGCTGGGAGGAACAGGGGTTATCAGAGATCAGAGGCAGGTTTGGGATCCTAAAGACCAGCTGTGCTGGTGGAGGGCCCCAAGGTTTGTCCCAAAGCACTCAGAAGGGTCCTGGTGGTCCAGCTGCGGCTACCCATCCTGTAGACACCCACCCTCTGGTAACTTCCGGCCCACACTCTGGTAACTCCCTGCCTGGCCAGAGCTCAGATGCTTGGCTGAGGAAGTATCTCCAAGGACCCTTCGACCCGGGCCATGCTTCAAATGGCGCTGGAGAGCAGAACCATTACCTGCCTGGCTCCTAAACCCCAGTTGAGTCCCTGGTGTGTTCCCATCCTGTGAGAGCCAGAAGAGTTCACGAGCCTGAAGGGAGGGAGCAGCAGGCCGCAGAGTCCTACTCCTCCACTTGCTGCACAGCCCCAACCTGGAGCCTCTTGGTCCAGAAGGACAGAAGGATGGCCCACATTGCCCTGATCATCCTCTGCTTGCAGAGGTGGGTGGATGGGGTCTCCTCTGCCTCCGGGTCCATCGGTGACAGAGTGGAACAGACGTAGGATGTGAGAAGACCAGGATCCCAGGAAGGGAGGATGGGATGAAGGCAGGGCAGGTGCCACTCCCATCTGTGACTGTCACAGACACAACAGCAAAGCCAGGCAGGAAGGAGGGCGGGGGTTGCCGAGGCAGGGCTGAGCTGGGGCCATGCCAGGTGTGTGGGGACGCTGGACGTTGCTGCCCTGAAGGAAGGGACGAGACCTTCGGGTTTGGAGTCTCCATTCAGACCTCTGACTAATGGAGTGCTCACCACCCAGACCTAGCAGCCTCCCAGCTGGTAAGTCCCCAGGGCTGGGAAGGAGAGGAAAGTTAATTGAACATCTAATCGGGAACAGGCCCTGTGCCAAATAATAATAATTAATTTTTATTGAGCACTGCGCTTGGCACTCCTCTAAACTGTTCAGGGGAATTATCTCGTTTAAGGTTCACCACAGCCGTATGAGAGGTGCCGCCGCCGCGGGTGTTGTCTCCACATCACAGCTGGGGAAACTGAGGCGCAGTACAGTGAAGGGATGAGCCAGAGGCCTCAGCGTCGGGATGCTAGCTCACCGTTCAGCACCATCTGGCCCACCCTGAGCTCGGGAGGCCGTTGTGTGCGTGTGCAGAACAGACAGCCGGGAGACGTCTCCAGGGTCCTAGAGTTAGTGAACAGTGGCGAGCCGTGCCCAGCCACTCCTTCCAGAACTCCGTGGGCACCTTGCACATCATCCTGGCCAGAAAGAGACCGGGTAGTCAGAAAGCAGCTTCTGGCTTTATCTCATACACCTGCCCCCTATCCGACGCCAGGAGGGTTTCCACACTGGAAACAGGTGGCTACCGCAGAGGGAGCATCAGAAAGATCACTCAACCCCTACCTGAGGTCTGTCTGTCTGAAGAATCATGAGGATCAGGTGCCATCCACTCAGCCCGCAGATGATTTCAGCATTTATTTAGTTGTGAGTGCGTGCGCGCGCATGCGTGTCTGCCAGGCCCAATGTGTATGTGGAGGTCAGAGGTCAAGTTGCAGGCCTTCCAGAACACGGGTCCCAGAGATGTACCCCGCTCCGGTGGCAGCGCTTAGCAGCAAGCCCACCAGGTTATTCTTCTGGCCCCAGAAGTGATTCTTACTGTACGGCTGGGGGCAGAAATTGAATACGTAATGGGGAGCAGGCTCTTTGCCAGATAATAATTAACTTTTCTTCAGTGCTGTGCTTGGCACTCCCTAAGATGCTCAGGGGAATTATCTCATTTAAGGTTCACCACAGCCCAGTGAGAGAGTGTTGCCTCCACATCACAACCGGGTGCCAGCGTGAACGGGCTGCTGTGCCCCCGTGTCTATCCTTCTGCCCCAGCGTTGGTGTCCTATTGGCTATGGTGGCGCACGCCTTTAACCCCAGCACAGAGCCAGTTCCAGGACAGCCAAGCTATTACACAGAGAAACCCTGTCTCGAAAAGCAAAACGGTGTGTGTGTGTGTGTTCATGTGTTCTTCTTTAAAGACTAGAAACTCTGATTTTAGTTCTTAAACTTACCAAGGAGCCCATGAAGGTGACCCGGCTCCCCAACACTTTGCTGATAACACCTTGGGGTAGCCGGGAGAGAGAGTGCATGACCGGGCTTCTGAGGGCCAGGTTGTACATCTGGCCATCGGATTACAGGAGCAGAGCTGGGGAGTCCAGATGAAGGACACCAAAGTTGGTGGCCTTGCTCCCTGCTGGGAGCTGTAGCCTCCCCAGAGCATGCTTTCTGATCCCAAGGAGTTGCCTCATCTCAGGGGCTGGATCCTGCTACCCAGAAGTCATAGCACGGACCCCTCGCAGTTCAACTTCCAAAGATGAAAACAGTGCAGCTTCCGGGGAGATGACCAGAAGTAAAGGGAGGTGCTAATCTTAGCAGGTGACAGTGAGGGTCCAGTGAGATAACCTGGGTGCACACAGCGCTTGGACGCAGTAGTACCTCAGACACTGGTCACTCCCTCATGCCACCTCCTCACACAGGACTAGCCTTGTCTGGCTCTCATTCCTTTCTCTTTCTACACAGAGCTCTGTCCTGTCAGTGTCCCCAATCCAAGGTCACGGCGAAACAGTGCTGCTCTTGATAGTGGACAGGAGGAGGACCATGCTGGCCCTGCCACCTCCTGCAGAAAGCTGCTGGCAGGTGTAGTCACTCTGTCACCCTGCTGCCCAGCAACTGGGCAGTCCTGTTACATCACAGCCCACACACCCTCTGCCTGTCACCTGCCCAAACAACACCCCTGGCCCTGGCCAGCACAGCTGTGATACATGGTGAGTATATGACTGTAATCCCAAGTGGCCTCTTCCAAACAGCTGGCGGGCCCTGTCTTGCCCTGGTACATCTGGCTCCTGGTCTTTCCAATGTCATTACCAAACTGGTACATGCAGCCTCACTGGCTCCAAAGAATAGCAGCTTCTAGTGCTTAGCCAGGGCCTCCAGTTAAACTCTGCTGGCCAGGGGCCAAGGGCCAGGGAACTTTAGCTGCTTCAGAATATCATGGTTAAGTGATGCCAGGGGCTGTGCCAGGGTACGTGCCAATCTGACAATCAGATGGTTTTGCCACTGGCTCCTGGAGACTTGGGGCACGTTTCCTAGTGTCTTTAGCATCTGTGGAACAGGGATAATAAGAATTGCAGATGCAACAAAGTCAGGTGTGTGAGGCTCTCAACACCCTGTGCTGATGACAGCTATTAGACTTTATAAGGACAACTCTTCTTTACTGGTGACCACAAAGACCAGTGCAGATGCTCTGTTTGTTTATTTGGTCATTTTCTTTCTTTCTTTTTTTGAAATGGGTTCAGGATGTAGCCCAGGCTATCCGTGAGCTTAAGGTCATCCCCCTCCGCCTCCTGAGTGCTAGGAACTATAAGCATGAACCATCACACCTGGCTACAAATGCTTGACTTGGTGGAACACAGCAAAAGACGGACAACATCGTCTTTGTGTCATCTTGGTTCTATAGGAACCAAGGTACAGTAAAGGCTCCAAAAGGTGGCTACTCCTGATTCAGGAAGCCTGTCTTTTGGCTGGAGAGGAGACTAGAGAGGCCAAAGGTAGGCAGACGCTGGGCCATGGGATGAGGCCTGAGTTGGAACTGGAGTCGGCATGGTGATGAGGAGAGAGGTACCAGGACGGCAGTGGGTAGGTGGCAGCAGACCTTCCCTTGACTCCTGGCTTCCTGAATGCTTTGCAGGAACTGAAGAGAGGAGAAAGATGTTCCACACCTGGATGTGCACCCAAAGAGAAGGACAGCGTTGTCCACGCAAAGACTCAGATACTGAACACCCCGACAACTTTATCGAAATAACCCAGGTGTCCAACATATGGATGGATAAACACATTGTGGCAAAGCTCTCTAAAAGGATGGAGTTTAGGAAGTAACAACAGAAGGAAAAAATAGGAGCTGGGAAGACAGAAAGAAAGAGAAGGTGGCAGAAAAAAACAGAAAAAAAATGAGCCTCGAGTCTACTCATCTACACAGGTGCATCTCACAACACGGATGGGTCTCAGATTCATCGCGCTGAGTGAGAGAAGCCTTGTAAAATAGACTTGTGAGATTCCACTTCTACAACGTTCTTAAAGCACAAGTTAACCTAAGGCAAGAGGAAGCACACAGTGGTTATCTGGGGCCCAGGGTGGCTCCAGGCAGGGGAAAACAAGGGAAATTAAAGAGGCTTCTAGGGAAATGAGACTTAACAGTGTCCTCAGTGGGTGGCGGCTTCCGGGCATGCAGACCTGCAAAGTGCAGGTGTGCAGGTGTGAAGAGGGTGCAGGTGTGCAGGTGTGCAGGTGTGAAGAGAGTGCAGGTGTGCAGGTGTGCAGGCGTGCAGGTGTGAAGAGGGTGCAGGTTTGCAGGTGTGCAGGTGTGCAGGTGTGAGGAGGGTGCAGGTGTGCAGGCATGCAGGTGTACAGGCGTGCAGGTGTGCAGGTGTGAGGAGGGTGCAGGTGTGCAGGCATGCAGGTGTACAGGCGTGCAGGTGTGCAGGTGTGCAGGCGTGCAGGTGTACAGGCGTGCAGGTGTGCAGGCGTGCAGGTGTGCAGGTGTGCAGGTATGAGGAGGGTGCAGGCGTGCAGGTGTGCAGGCATGCAGGTGTGCAGGCATGCAGGTGTGTAGGGTCCCGCTGGCACTGTGTGCCCCAGGGCTCCCCTGCTCCATTCACTGAGGTGGGACTGAGGTGGGGCAGCCCTCCCAGCCTCTGAAGGAAGGTCTGCACCTACTGGGCTGCTTGGGCCATCTCAGAAAGCAGTCTTCTCTGCAGATTTGGCTCTGTGTTCTAAAGTCCAAAATCAACCAGGTTCCTTCATTAATCACTGCTCAGAGAGCATGGTCCAAGTTCTCCAGATCCCAGCATGCCAGGGACTGTGAAAGTTCTTATCAGTCCTGACAACACCAAGACCAATACCCATACTGTCCTTCCTGGTACCCCCCTCAGATCCTAATGGAATGATACAATTGTATTTCACTTTCAATGGCTTTCAAGGAGAATCTGAGGGAAGGTCAGAATCCCCTCTGCTCGCTACAGCCCCAACCAGGTCAGGTCACCAAGACTCTGACATGCAGCCAGCGATGGGAGAAAGAAGGGAGCTGGCAGGGAGATGTTTTGCAGGAGGCTGTCCTACACACACATGTACACAGAAGCACACACACAGGCACACTTGTACACACACCTGGGTGCAAGGGGGGCTACACCCTGCTCTGATTAGAAGGAATCGGGAGTAGGGGAGGCTGCAGGAAGCCAAGTCCATCTGTCTTTTTAGTGATCAGCATGTAGCTGACCTTGGGACCCTTGTTAAATAGCAACAGCTGGCAAGACGCATACAGGATCAGTGAATGCCATTGTCACTATTCCTAGGTGCAGTGCCTCGTGGCCTCTCCCCAACCCCAGCTTATCTGAAATCTCCAGGACCCTGTTGTATCTCCTTGCTCATGTGTGCAATCCCGGTAGGTGTGACCCCAAGCTGGCTGGTCCTTGCCCTTGGAGTTGCTATTCCATTTAGGGGCTGAGTTGGACCCCCTCTGGGCCTAGTCCTCACCTCCCAAAGAGGCTTCAGAGTCTGTGACCTGGCCTTTGTGAACAGAGTTTACTCGGTGGGTTTCTACACAGCGGCTGGACTACAGCAGGCCCTGACTATCTGCCACCAGCCCGTCCTTCTCCAGAGGCATGAATAAGTTTGTCCTATGCAGAGACAATTCACCTGGGTCCTGTTATCAGCCCCACCGTCCCTGAGTTGGTGTCTTGGAGCAAAGTCTTAGCTTCCCCGTCATTGAAATGATCACATTAGGCTCCTACTGAGTTTGGACTCCGTTCTTGGGAGTGATTGCACACCCTCTGTAAAGGAACCATGGCTCCTCAGCACAATGTTCTTGAAGTTGTCTGGGATGCTCCTCCCTGCAGGGTAATCTTGTGTGCCAAAGGTCAACCCTCCATGCCTCTGATGATAACGGCCTGGAATTTGTGAACCTTGGAATGATCTTTGTTGGGTCACAAGTTTGTCTCCACCTCCACAGCCTCACCTAGGTTGGGCCATGTTCCAGAGACTGCCAGAGCTCACGCTCTGCAAAAGTAAACACAGCTCAGCCTGCCTGGCTCCCAGGACAGTTTCTGGTGAATCAGTGGGACAAGTTTATAAACCCTCTTAAGTAATCATCGGCTGTCTTGGGGTTTTCCCCTCTTTCCAGGATGTGACATGAAAGCCTGCTGCTTCCGATGAGACCGGTCCCGGCATCACCCCCCCGGGTTGCATCAATCACCGGCCAGCCAGTGGGGATGAAGGCCTAAGCTGCTGAGGCAGGTGCTTTGGGAGGTGACGCAGGAAGCATAGATGCTCCTGAAAGTGTGACTGGGGATTTCCACCCAGGGCCAATTCTTGTTCTTTTGTTGTTACTTGAGTACGGCACTGTCATCCCAGGACAGATGTTCCATGACCCACAGTCATTTCCGGGGATGATGTGGCTACTTCCTGTGGCTAAAGGGCTCACTCAGCACAGGGAAGACAGCCCAGTGCTCAGGGCTGGGGGCAATGCTTGACCAGCCAGACTGGTGAACATTTGACCAAGCCCCTGCCAGTCTAATGTACACCCAGAGAGAATCTCTGTTCTGGTCCCAGGATGGTAGGTAGCGCGATTCACGGACGGGAAGGACCCCCACCATCTGTCATCCGTGACAGCTCTGCCCTATCTCAGTGCCCTGAGCAGAGGCTCAGCCCTGCTTTATGATGCACTTCAGTGGCCTGGAACCCATCATGTGAAGTAGACAGCACGGCTCACACCAGGAGAGTTCTAAGAAAGAGCCATTCCTACCAGGCTTGCCAGATACCTGCAGAGCCATGAGGCCTCCAGCTACCTGCTGGCTTGTGGGTGCACGTGAATACAAACCCCACAACTACACTCTTTCCCCAGTGTGTGTGTGTGTGTGTGTGTGTGTGTGTGTGTGTGTGTGTGTGTGTGTAGTTAGGTTTGTTTGTTTGTTTATTTTGGGGGTGTGTGTTTTGGTTTGGGTTTTTGAGACAGGGTCTCTCTGTGTAGACTTGGCTGTCCTGGAACTCACTCAATAAACCAAGCTGTCCTCGAACTCACAGAGATCTGCCTGCCTGTGCCTCCCAAGAGCTGGGATCGGCACTCCAGCATTGTTTTGTTTTGTTTTGTTTTGTTTTGTTTTAAATTTTGTGAATGTGTGTGTCTCTGTATACAAGTGTATGGACCTGTGAATACAGTTGCCTCCTGAGCCCAGAAGAAGGTGGGGTCTTTTGGAGCTAGAGTTATGGGTAGTTTGTGAGCTGCCCCATGTAGGTCCTGAGAACCAAACTCGGGTCCTCTAAAAGGACAGTATTGTTCTTAAATGTTGCACCATCTCTTCAGCCCCGCTTTTCCTGTTTTAAATTGAGATAGAGTTAGCAGTCCCCAAAAGTATTCTGTCAGCAACAGGCGGTGATGGCACACACCTTTAATCCCAGCGCTCAGGAGGCAGAAGCAGGCGGATCTCTGTGAATTCGAGGCCAGCCTGGTCTACAGAGTGAGTTCCAGGGGAACCTTATCTCAAACAAAAAACAAAAACAAAAAAAGTGTTCCTTCAGTGGGTCTTAGTGCTTTCGCGATGTCAGGCAACCATGGCTACTATCTAATTTTCGGGGGTTTTCATCAAGCCCCCAAGCAACTCCATCCCTGTTATCACTGTCACTCCCCACTGTCCACCCTAAATCCCGTCCAGTCATATCTCCGTAGAGTTGCTTATTCTGGATATTTCATACGATTTGGGTTCATGTACTGTGTCACCTTCTGTGTCTAGCCTTGGTCACTATCATATTTTCAAGGCAGCTCCATGTTGCAGCAAGTGCCAGTGCTCTCCTCCTTTTTACTGACACGTAGTATCCCAGTGTCTGGATATCTCAGATTTTAGACTCATTCCTCAGGTGATGGACATCGGGCTGCTTCCTCCTTTTGTCTGTCAGGGAACACACTGCTGTGGGTGTTTGTGGATGTTTTTGTGTGGACCCAGGTTGTCCATTCACTGGGTAATGTGCATAAGAATGGAATTGCTTGGGTCATATGATGAGTATTTTTCAAGCTTTTTAATTTTTCAGTTTGAGTTTATTCTAAAATTTAAAATTATTAATTTTTTTTCGAAATAGGATTTCTCTGTGGCTTTAGAGGCTGTCCTGGAACTAACTTTTGTAGACCAGGCTGGTCTCGAACTCACAGAGATCCACCTGCTTCTGCCTCCCGAGTGCTGGGATTAAAGGCGTGCGCTACCAACGCCCAGCTTTAAAATTATTTTTTAATTTTGTTTTTATTTGCTGAGCGTTGGTGGCGCACACCTTTAATCCCAGCACTCAGGAGGCAGAGGCAGGTGGATCTTTGTAAATTCAAGGCCAGCCTGGTCTACAAGAGCTGGTTTCAGGGCAGCCTCCAAAACAATACAGAGAAACCCTGTCCTGAAAAACAAAAATAAAAAATAAAATAAAATAAATTGTTTTTATTTATTATTTTTATGTTATAGGTGTTTTGTCTGCATGTATGGCTGTGTACCACATGCATACCTGGTGCCCACGGAGGCCAGAAGGGGGCACTGCATCCTCCGGAAATGGAGTTAAAGACTGGTATAAACTCCTTTGTAGTAATCGAACCCAGTTCTCTGGAAGAGCAGCAGTATTCTTAACCACCAAACCATCTCTCCAACCCCACCTTCCTGTCTTAAACTGCTTCTGCTGGTTTTTTGTTTGTTTGTTTTTTGCCATAGTGAGGAGAAATGTAATAGTGACTTGAGTCTAGAACCAAACATTAAACTACTTTATTTTGATTATTTCTTTTTTTGGTGCTGGCTGCTGAGATTAGAACACCTTACAGTGTGAGCCTAACCCAGTTAGCAGAAACAAAACCACTCAGAATGGAAGAAATGGGAGCCCTGCGGTAAGAAAGACCCTGAACCCAGATGAACGGGACCTACCTGGAGTCAGCCTTGGGTCTTCTAACTCTGCACCCATACACTGGGGTGCCTTGCTGAGGTGTTGAGAGAAATTGCTGGAGATGCACACCCTTAATCCAGCATTCGGGAGACAGAAGCAGGTGGATCTCAAGGAGTTCAGGCAAGCTAGTCTACAGAGTGAGCTCCAGGACTATACAGAGAAACCCTGTCAAGAAAGAGAGAGAGAGAGAGAGAGAGAGAGAGAGAGAGAGAGAGAGAGAGAG